TGTTCATCGCGCGTCCTCAGCTGGTTGAACTTGGTGAACAAACCGATGAGTTCACTGTTGCTCTCGAACAGCCTGTGGGAAGGACGAGAAGAGGGGTTTAGAGGGGGATTTTTTTTTGGAGGGGGCGGGGTTGGTTGGGTTGGTTGGGGTTGGTGGGGTGTGGGTTGGGGTGTTGGTTGGGGTGTGGTTGGGGTGTTTGGGTTTGTTTGGGGGGTGGGTTGGTTGGGGTTGGTTGGGGTGGGGGGTGTTGGTTGGGGTTTGGTGGGGTGTTGGTGGGGTTGGTGAGGGTTCCATGGGGTGGTGGCGGTCGTTGGGAGTTGATGGGGGTCTTTGGGGGCCGGTTGGGGGGTTGTGGGGATAGGTAAAAGGGGGGAGGGGTTTAATTGTGGGGTTAATGGGGGTTTAATAGGGTGGTGTATAATTGGGGAGGGCTTTAATGGGGCTGAGAGAGAGTCAGAATAGATGGTGATGGGAGGGGAGAAGGAAACAAAGACGAGAAGCGGAGAAAAGAGTATAAATAACAAAAATGAATAAGAGAGAGAGAGAAAAAAAAAATCGACCATGAAAAAAGAGAAACCTAAAACATTAACAACAACAACAACAAAACAACGAAAACAACAACCAAAAAAAATAAACCCGCTCATACCTCAAAACAACAAAAAAAGAAAAAGAAAAAATAAAAAAAAAATCAAGATTAAAAAAAAGAAAAAAAGAAAAAGAAAAAAGAAATGAAAGAAAATGAAAAAATGAAAAGAGAGAGAAAGAAACGAAAAAAAGGAGAGAGAAAGAAAAGAAACGAAGAGAGAGAGAAAGGAAAAGAACGAAAAGAGAGAGAAAGGAAAAGAAACGAAAAAAAGAGAGAGAAAGGAAAGAAACAAAGGAAAAGAGAGAGAAAGAAAAAGAAACGAAAAAAGAGAGAGAAAGAAAAAGAAACGAAAAAAAGAGGAAAGAAAAGAACGAAAAAAAGAGAGAGAAAAGAAAAAGAAACGAAAAGAAGAGAGAAAAGAAAAAGAAACGAAAAAAGAGAGAGAAAGAAAAAAACAAACAAACAAAAAGAGAGAGAAAGAAAAAGAAACGAAAAAAGAGAGAGAGAAAGAAAAAAAACAAACAAAGACAAAAAAGAGAGAGAGAAAGAAAAAGAAAACGGGCATAGAAAACGAGGAAGCCAAGGGACGCCGAGAGAGAGGATCATACTCTCCGCCTTTTGGAATATTCAAACGAACGCGCGCCAAGGTAACCGTAGATCTGCCTAATGGTTTCGGAACGGTGACCCAAGTGTAACGTAATTCAGAGGAGGAATGCGAGGCTAAGGGGTCGCGTTTCGTTCATTTTCGTTTGGTTTTTCATTACGTTTCGATCTGTTTTGTTGAGTTTTGGTTTTTCATTACGTTTTCATGTTTTGTTGATTTTTTTTTTTCATTTACGTTTCATGTTTTGCTGTGAGTTTTTTTTTTTTCATTACGTTTTTCATGTTTTTTGTTGATTTATGTTATGTTTTTGTTTATTTTTTCACTTTCAGTTATCATGTTTTGTTATTGTTTTTTTTTTTTTCATTACGTTTCATGTTTTGTTGATGTTTGTTTGTTTTTTTCATTACGTTTCATGTTTTGTTGATGTTTGTTTGTTTTTTTCATTACGTTTCATGTTTTGTTGATGTTTTTTTTTTTTTAATTTACGTTTCATGTTTTGCTGATGTGTTTTTTTTTTTCATTACGTTTCATGTTTTGTTGATGTTTGTTTGTTTTTTTCATTACGTTTCGATCTGTTTTGTTGATGTTTGGGTTTTTCATTACGTTTCATTTGTTGATGTTTGTTTGTTTTTTTCATTACGTTTTGATCTGTTGTTTTATTACGTTTCGTCCGTTTTTTTTATTACGTTTCGTCCGTTTTTTTCATTACGTTTCGTCTGTTCGTTCATTTTCGTTTGATTTTCCTTACATTTCGTTCTGTTTTTGATTTTTGTCTGTTTTTTCATTTACGTTGTTTATATTTGTTGAAACTTGTCTGTTTTTTTCTTTATTACGTTTCGTCCTGTTTTGTTAATTTTTATCTGTTTTTC